GCTATTTCTTTTTATCCCTGTATTTACACATCAGCATTTTTTGTCAGGGTTCATTCAACCACATGTTTGCCAAACAGATTTTTCATTAAGCTCCATCATTTCAATTTTAACTAGCAATTTCTATGGCACTGTATCAAATGCTTTTCTGACAGCTACCTAGAATAAATCTAATGTCTGTGCAAAAAGATATTTTCTTACTTTTTGGATTAAGCTGGTATGGACTCCTCTTGATAAATACTGCTTGTATTTTGGGTTTTATTTGTCTTCCATTCTGCACTTACTCTTCTCTACTTTTCTAAAGCATTTCCTGCCACTCTATCAGTTTTTGAGTTTTTCCTCTTGAGTTTTGTGGTAAAGTCTATTTTTTAAATTGTACAACCCCACCCTGCATCATCATAACTAAACATTATAAAAACCCCTAAAACTAATGGGGAAAATTTTCTTCTCATTGTATCAGAATAAAAAATACGCATTTTTACAATAAAAGATTTGATTTCTTCATGGCCAATAAAAGAATCAGGAATCACAGATCAAACCTGGAGCTTTGTAGCAAATCAGAGCTAAAATTACATTAGTCAAGTATTTTCCATTATGCCAGATACCCAGATGATTTATTTTATATCTAATTTATAAATTTAAAAGATCAGATTCTACATCTCTTATACGCATCAATGAATAGTTAATGTGTTAAATAAGTATTACTGAAAGGACCTGACTACAATGGAAATAGGAAAAACAGAATACCCTGGCCAAGAAATTTGAAAGGTTTATTATACTGAAGGGGCATCTCTCGCTCTTCTGAAATCACAAAGGACAGAGCAGTGTTATAAATTTGAGAAAGAAAGGACGAACTTGCATCCTTTACACTAACTATTACAGACTACACTCTGCGTCTTTGGTGAACAATGTCCCTGTGCACGTCCTGACTGAAGACTTTGCAGTTACAGACATATCCTTAAACAAGCCATCTAAAAGTCCCGAGTTTAACATACCAAAGAGAAAAGTATCTTTGTTTTCATTATATTTCTTTGTATTTCTAATCTGCAGAAGCATATTTTTGAGCAGCCAGGCTACTTGTACGTTACGGAAAGAGCACTCTGAAGAGCCTTTCATATCACTGTATTGTTGGGTAGGCATATGTGCTGTTGGAATGCATTTGGTATGCTGCTGTTGGTAAACTGCGATTTCACAGAGACCTGCAACAAAAAAGTTTGTGGAGCAGTTTGAGTATTGTCACTAGAAGATATGCCCGCAGCTAAAGCGTGAAGTTACTCTTCGTGTCTAGAGACAGGAGGGCACTGTAGAGGATGCTGAAATGGAAGAGAATGAAAAAGCTGAGGTGACACTTAAGGACAGCTTTTCCTTAGAAAACTCTCCTTCTGCATGGTATTGCTTTTTTTGTCTATAAAACAAGCATCATGTTCAAGAGGTTATGTAGGCATAAGACAATCCATAATGACAGCCAAAGTTTGAAATAAATAGAAGAACTTTCTGAACACCTGCTGGAGTGGCAGACAAAATACATTGATGAGTTTCTTTTGTTTATTCAGGGAAACTGCATTTTACTTTCTCCTCTTACTGCAGCTACTACAGTAGGTGTAGGTGAGTCAACTGTTGGACAGCAGCAACACTGCACTACTTCTCAAAGGACAGTGGTATAGGCAGCTGTACATCCACTGGAGCCTGTCCAAGGTCTGAATTCCCACTGTCATGAGCAGTGCACATATTGGTTGCCTCACACAGGCACCTTTTATATTGTGCAGAAAAAAAAAAACCAAAAAGCCTAACAAAATGCAGGATGAGAATAGTGAGTGCTTTTGGGACATTTAGGAATATCTAATGAAGACTGTGTCTTTACTAGGTGTGAAGTCTCAGGAAAAGCATCCCTTTTGCAGTGACAGTACTTTTCACATACAGTGAAAGCAAAAAATCTCTCTGTGGTCTTGAAAGCAGGATTCCAAACGTGAAATAGCTTGAGCAGCTCAAGAGATAGCCCCCCATTAAAGAGGCACGTTGTCCAAGATGGCTTGTACACATACCTTGTGGGAAATCCTTTTAAGTTTTCATGCAGTTCACGTATTTCTGGCAACTGCATACTATGCACTGTGTAAACAATAATTGTTAGGTGACTGAACAAAGAAAGTCTCCGTTTAAACAAAGAAAGCAATGTTTTTTTAGTCTTTATACACATGACATGAAGATGATTTGTGGATAGAATACGAATTGTCCAAACATCTTGAACTCCACAAACAATTTAAATAAGGATTCAGCTCAAAGGAGATTGATGTCATTACTTCAGTATGGAAAGCCTGACCAAAATCACATCAGCTATTTTTTGCTAAAAATGTGCATTAGAGGACTGTTAAAATACAGATGGCCAGGCAGAGGGTACTTGTTCCTTATAATTCCATCGGCATTTACCTTTCCTTGGTAGGCACTCTTCCACCGGTAGAAATTGGAGCAAACCTTTTGGCTCCTGCATGTGCTGTGGGAGCAGAGAGCTTGCAGTACCTTGACACTGCTTGCCACTATATCTGTTACCTACCGCCGAACTTCCCATTTCCACTTTTACTGCTCTCTCTGTAACAGCCAGACTCTGCTGATTCAAAATATTTCCTATTTCAATCAAAATGCATTCACTTATCTGCCACCTCTATCCTGTGAAAAGGATATGAATTTCTCTCTGTGATTGGACTTCATCCTTTTCCTCTGTGTCCATGCAGTCCTTCTGAGCCTCATGGGTACCTCCACAAAATCTCTCTGTTCTTCCCTTTGGATCTGACAGACCATTCTTGGAAATGGCACCAAATCTACTCTAACTGTCTAAATGTATGTGACTCCTTGGTTCCTTCACAATGCCATCCGTTCTTTGTTGCATAAGAGTATTAGTCTCATTCATATATACCTGTATGTATCAACAGTCATTGTAGCTCCATTCCTGTTTGTTTTTCCCCTCTTCATCTGCTATAAAAGGCCTCTGAACTGTGCTATGTTTAAGTTAAAAGAACTTGAACCATGTTTTCTGGGCTTCATCTACCAATAATCTGTATTCTTTTCAGGCAAAAAAAAAATCTAACAAAAAATGTTACTATTTGATGCATCTCTTTCATCTGGTGCCTCTTTCATGTGAAAGAACCATTGGGAATAGTGACAGAAGAAATAGTGGAGAAACACCTGGTGGCTTTTCTTTTTGCCTAAATAAGCTGATTCACTGAAAACAAAACATCACAAAAATCTGACTCTGGACAATCTTCTGATAGAACATGCAAGTTTCAAAACTTCTTTGTCAGTTCTGGGGTATGAGGACTGCCTGCTACCCGAGATACCAGTCAGCGTCATTCCACAGAAGGAATAATGATGACAGTTCCCAAGACTGTTTCTACACAGAACGTTAACACTAATTTGTTAATTGGTTTCCCAGGCTACTCGGCTTCAACAGCCTAATGAATCATTTGCTCCAAGATTCAAACATTGGGTTTTGGTGTCTGGCAACTCTTGTGTCCTCAGCTGCTGGAGCAGACCAGCTGGTGGACAGCCTGCTGTTGTGTTTACTGCTGAGGTACCTGAAGAGCCTTGACATGTACAAATTTCACTCATGAGAATGGCTGCTCTCTGAACAGAACATAAGTCATCACAAAGTGCAAGAAATAACTTCTAAAGAGAGAGAAGACAGAAAGGGTTTTCCAAAGCCTTACCATGATAAGGCATCAGATCCCATGAAAGATAAGATTAGAGAAATGGTTTTGAAACTGTTAGTTTGGAAAGACCTATAGCTCTTAAGAAATTGTGAGGAGCACCCCCAGACTGCACGTGTCAATAACCAGGAGTCCAAAGAGGAACCTCGGATACTGGTCTCAGGAATGGGGGTGGCTGCACTGTGCAATTCATTTCCAAGAAGTTTGACCTGAGAATTTGCCCAGGAATCTCAGAGCTAGTGGCCCAGCCAGGTTCTTCTCCTACCCGGCTGTTTCAGGAGTAGGTGCAATTTGGCATTTCAGTCTACCTGTCACACACACAACAAAGTCAATCCAAAGGGCTATTACTTTCTGAAAATATTTTCATTACTTGATCACATTCCATCCTGCAAGAACTTTTTCTTTACCCATTAAATGCTCCTCTCTGCTCTCAGCATGCAGGTTGTAACACTGCTCACTATGGTTCATACTATTTCTTTTTAATGATATCAGGTTATAAACAGGTCTTTTTTTTCTCAATATATAGAAAGAATTTCTGCAAATGCCTTAAAAACATGAAAATTGTCTTGAGCTTTTTCCTAGAAATGTCATTGGGTCGCTTACAGCTGGCTATTTGGGATGTCATAAGGCTATTTGGAGAGTCTAATAACGCCCACTCAGTCCCTTTTAACATATAGTACTTAAATGACAGCACATATAAGACAGTGGAAAGACAATTCTAATTTATTCTCATTACCATCTTAAAGCCAGCACCCTGCTTTATTTTATAACAAAAGGCATGGCATAATATAAATGTCAATTACATATTTTATATGCCTTGTGAGGCAAAACCAAGATCCATGCCTGGTGTAAACTGCCAGGCAATAATATAGAGTTGACTTAAACTGTTGGTCCTAAATCGAGACTGGGAAAAAAAAGAACAGCTTGAGGGGAACAAGTATTTTGTAATACAGTTGCTGATCTACCCAGTGATTAGACTGACCCTGCCAGGAATCACTTCAGTTACCCCACAGCTGTGGGGGGGGGGGGTTCGTGTCTGTCTGGCTTGGGGCGGCTGTGCTTGATCATCCCAGTGCTGGCGCCTGTCCGCTGTTGGGACGGGCATGCAGGCTCCTCAGAATGTGTACACATGAGGAGAGGGGGGCTTCTCCGGCACCTCGTGGCTTCCAGAGCGGGGAAAACGACGTTCTTACCCCAGGACTAACCCCCAGTGCCCGGGAGATCCGGGATGGGCGGGGGGCGTCCCGGCTTAGAGGATTGAGCCGTATCTCTTGCGGGGGGGCAACAGCGCAGGGAGAGGAAGGAGGAGAAAAGAACGCAGAAGAGGGGAGCTGAGAAGCGAGAGGGAAGGGAGCCGGTGTCTAGAGGAGGAGCTGAGAGTAGAGAGGCGGCGGCGGGCAGGGACTCAGTCGGGCCGGGAGCTGACGGCCGCCGGAGCGGACTGCTGGCGGCGGCCCGAGCAGGTGCGGGAGCCACCTCCAGTCGCAGGGCGGCTGCCGCCGCGAGGCGGGGGTGCTCGGCTCTGCGCCCCGGCAGCCGCCCCCGGGCCCTATGGTGCCGCAGCGGGACCTGGCTCCTGCTCGCTGCCTTCAGAAGCGGCCCGCGAAGCGGCGCGGGGCAGCGGAGCCCGCCAGCCCCGGCACTTGGCTGGCATGAGGACCCTGCCGGTGTTTCTCCTCTCCCTCTGCTGGAGCCTGGGACGGGTAAGTCATGCCGCGCTCACCCCCAGCACCGGCCGCGGCGACGGGAGAAGACTCAACACTCGTCCCTCCAAACCGCGGACGGGGTGATCCCTTCGGCTCTTCTCACCGCTGAAGGTGCCAGTGCCGACCCCCCCGGGGCCGGGCCGGCCGTTCCGTGACAGCTTCTCCCGTTACCCGGAGCGGGGTCTCAGCGGTAGCCGCAGCAGATGCGGAGACTTTGGCCTCCCCGCGCTCACTTCGGGGAGCAAGTGGCTGCCGCCGCCCGCCTCACCGGGTGTCCCGGACGAGATCTCTCTCGCGGGGAGAAGGCTCCGCCGCGCTGCCGGGACCCCCAGCCCACCTCCTCTCCGGCGCTCCCGGGGGCAGGCTCCCCAGCCGCACAGGCAGCGCCGGGCCGAACTGCCGGCTCCGGGGGGCACCGCCTCGCACCCCAGGCGATCCTCAGGGGCTGGGACGGCTCCGCCCCGGCGGGGGGCAGCGCGGGCCGGGTCCCATCCACATCCACATTCACGTACCCGGCGGAGCGGAACGGGAGCTTCCTCGCCCCGTCACTTGTTCCCTGCAGTTTCCCCCGCCGCAGGTGTCTAGCACTAGTTTGCGGAGTTTAGACAGAGCGCTGCCGCGGTACGGGCTGGAGTGTCGCTGGCAGCATGGCATGGGGAAAAACCCTGCGTGATTGATAAGGAATAGCATTGATGTAGTGCATGGCAACCGGATAGCAACATTCAAAGCATTCAGAGTATTAAAGCCTTCAAATTTAGAGCGTCTGCTTTTAACACCTTTGTATTTCTATGTGTTTCTCTAGTTGTTTGTAAAAGTATAACGTTGCTGGAAACATGGTTTATGAAAAACAAAACAGTTTGCCCTCTAAATCTTTCCAGTTTTTTGTTCCTGTACATTTAAATTAACACATCATTTCTACCAAAAGCCGGGAAATGATGCTGAAGGTAAATGTAAGCAGCTTGTCAGAAGAAATGTTTTCCAGTCAAACTGCTGTTCTGGACGCCTTAAAAATTGTTAAGCTACTAAAACCACAGAGATTCCTCACTGTGTACCTTTACAGTGTGCAACACAGCACACATGGTTCTGTATTCATTGGTTACAAAGGATTGGTTACTCTTGGTTAAGCACAGGGAAAGATAGATGAACTCCAGCACTGAAAGGTGGTGGCTGCCCTCAAAAAAACATTTTGGAGTTCTTGATGTGTCTCGGGATGTGGTCAGTGCCACATTGTCTTGAAGCCTAACTCTAGCTTGATGAAGGACATAGGAATGAAACAGGTGTATGTATTAACACAAAGTACGTTACATTTTGGCATGAATCCCAGGTTTGAGAAGTAATGTGTTACCTTAGAGTACTAACAAGTGTACCTTCTCAAAGTAACCTTTGCTATCAGACCACTGATACTGGGAAACTTGAACTTTTGGAAGTAAGAGAAGTCACTTGGCAGGCTTCTGAATTGCAGTAGCTGCTTTGACCTGTCCCTCATTTAGTTAACTTGTCTGTTTACTGGAAGCTGCCTTTCCAAGACCCGGTAATTATGATACTTTGTGATGAGGAAGAGACCTACTCCCAGTTACTAAATGCTTGCAATTTGGAAAAAAAAAAAAAAAAAGTTATGTGAAAGAAGAATGCAATTGAAAGTGTTATGTGTACTTGGGACTTGATTTTACATGGGAGCTCTCTGGAGCGGAGATAATATTTAGCAAAAGTTATCATCAGTATAATGCTGAACTTACTATTACATGTGCTAGAAATCCAATTGGTGTTAAAGGATCTGTACAAATTCACTTTTGTGAATTATAAAAATAAAAATTAAAAAAAAAACCAAACCCCTGAAAATATATATTTTGAATAGTCAATATAGAGAAAAGATGGGGAAAAGGAAGTAAGGTTCTGATGGTATAGATGAGAACTGCAAGATTTGGAGAAGAGAGGTTTTCATGAGTTTTCATAACAGTTCCTGTTGTTATGGCTATTATGCTGTGTTTCTAAAAGCTGCACAAGTGGCTTGCCCCAAGGATTCTGCAGAACAACCGGGTTCTTGCACTAAGTTTGGGTCCTGGTTAATTTTTAGTTGTTACCACTTTGAAATATATTGTCTCATGAATCAGAGATTCCTAAAGAAAAGGTAAAAAAAGAGTGAGAATCGTGGAGAGAGACCACACTTTTCCTGGTAAGTACCAGTGTGAGGATGACCGAAGTACTGCATATTCACATTTTTTTATTTCATTGCTAACCTCACTGGCCCTTCAGCTCCAGTGAAGTTTCCTACTTTCCCATTTGTCACCTACTACAGTTGCTTCTCCCATGCAGTTTCTCACAGGCTCTGCATATTTCTCTTCTAGGCTGTATTTGCCTCTCTGAATCGAGCTGACTTCAGTACAGCTTCCTGGTGTGTTGTTTCTCTCCCCAATACTATATCCCTGTCTCTTCCTGTGAATGTAAATAAGCCTTTCTGAAAACCAAAGAACTGGGGACAGGGAGATAAACAAATAAAAGCAATAGTGCTTTCATTTTTGAAGGAGTGGAATTTTCTTCTTGTGTAGCACTTGCTTGAACCAAATAATCATGCTCTGGGGCCTTTAGGAGATAAAATATACATGGCGGAACAGGGAACAAAAGCAAGATTTACAATGCCAACGTGAATGCAGTTTGCTCAGTTTTCATGTTCTGTGATTTGTAGTAAACTTTCAGCTTCCTAACTTATTACAAAGGAAAAAAAAACAAAAAAAGCAAATGTGTTTACTTTCCTGCTTCAGTTTAACTCAGTTTTTCTGTAGGAATAAAGTCTAAAGAAACAATGCTGTTGAATGCACTAGAAAGTTAATACATTTTTTTGTAAGTGACAATCGATCTTGAAATGCTACAGGAAGGAGCCAGTGAATGTTCCAGTAGGTTACTTTAACATTTTGTTTTGAAAAGTCAATGTGTGAGAAGCTAAAATGGGTAGTGACTGTACCAGTAAAATGCCTAGCACATACTTGGGCAAAACCAGTGCCAGTTAAAGTTGGGGGTTTCATTACTGGTAGATGCATTCTTCATAAACCTTTTTAATTCATATTTCAAGACCCTGGCCTGTTTGTTGATTTGGCACAGGTGAATGGTGTCCATCCGGAATGCAGATTTCAGCTGGAGATTCACAAGGAGGAAACAAGGTGCATGGAACTTCTAAAGAATGCAAAGCCAGTAGACTACAAAGGTAAGAAAAGATAAGCTGTAATGTAGAGACAAGATTTTCTCCCTTGACCTTGTTTGCTGTTGCAGTTGCCATGTTTTAGCTTAGAATTTTATGTATTTTAGAATCTAGGCAGGCTGTGCTTTAAACATACAGCTGGAACAGGGATGTCGTGAGAGGTGTGCCAGGCACTCTGCTCGCACTGGGTGGAACGCTACATGGGAGTATTCCCATGTTTAAGTTGTTGCTGCTAGTATGTGTCCTGACTGGCAGAGTAGCTGCAGGTTGGTGATGATAGGACCAGCAGAAAGAACAAGTCTGAGGAAAAGCTGAAAGCCTTGGATCCAGGCATCTCTCTCTGTCTATGGTTGACAGTAAGGATTAGTGCAGTACTTTTGTAGTACATTTGTTTTCTTTTGTCTGAACTAGGTGATACACAGTGTATTTGTTTTTTCATAGTCAGTCTGTTTCGGATGCTCTCTGAAGATGACTGTGGTACCTTAGGGACCTACCATCTGCAGTGCCCCTTGAGCATAAGCATGAGTCCCAATTCACAATGCTTTGTCCACCTCTCTTCTTGATTTAAATATGTAACTCCCTCTGTGTATATTCTAATATCAATTAGTATACAGGAAAATAATGAAAAGGGTCATCAGCAGTTTGTATTTTACTATAATTTCTCTTCTTATTAGTCCAAATAAGTAATCATAAAAATTATAATAACAGTGAATAAGTTACCTGGGTATCTCTCCAAGCAAAATCTTACTGGAATAAGTCAACTACATTTAGGTTTTTTTATTTGTATGAGTGGTGAAGAGAGGTGACTGTTACATAAATAATACTAGTGTGAAGCCAGATGGAGAAATAATCAGTAGCTCAGCTTAATGAATTAAATCTTGAATTAGTAAATTCACTGTTTGCTATTATATGGCTTTGAAAGTCAGTCTTTCTTCAAGATCCACTTTTGTGATCCAGATGCTGAGTTCCAAGGCTTGTGATGCACATCAGTTTTATTTTGGGTTCTCTAGGGGAAGAAAGACATTTTCTATCAATATTTTCTTCACAGCCTCTTTTCAGTGGAGGAGGCGTGCCTCCTGAAGGGAAACTGCTGTAGAAGAGCTTCATGTTTTGGAAGGAGACAGTGAGTCTGGTGTTGATTCAGTCCTGTAGGTAGTGATAAAACAGCAGTGGAAAGATTTATACATTTAATTGAATGTCTGGCTGAAACTAAGAGTGTATTCCATTTTGTAGGATACTAGAATGAATCCCGTGTGGTAATGAACCCTTAAAAACTGTATGTTTAATGTTATAAGAGAATTTATCCTATGCTTCACATTACCACATACCTTTACCAAAAACCTGTTCAGAGAAGCCTATGTTAAATATATGCATCTGCATTTCCAAAAACATCTTTTCTCTGTGTGTCCTTATTTTTCTAATAAGCTCTGTAGAGTTTATTAGAAATGTAAGGAATTTATTAAGAATTTATTACTAAGGAATTTATTAGAAATGTAAGGAATATTTTGAACGGAGACTTACAGATTGTCACGGTGATACTCTAACTACTGATAAAGAATTACTACTGAAAATTAACAAGCTGGAACCTGAAGCTGTTAGTACATTTGAAACAATTAATTACAATAAATTCACAAATCTTATTTCACTTTTTTTCCTGTATGGGAAAGATAGTTATATAGCCCTTGTCATGCTTTTCTAACTTCAGGATATTCTACATGCCTTACAAAAGCTGTGATGAAATCTATCAACAGTCCTGTCTAGCATTTGGAAATAAAGGTTCACTGATTTTCCATTGAAGGCTTGAACTTCCGTTATCAAAATCAGGGGAATTTTTTCATTAACTTCTTGGGCACCTGAGAAGCCTTCACTCCTCTATGTAACATGCTCCAGAATTTAGCTGGCGTGCATAGCTAGTGAATTTTGCAGGATCCAGGTTTTATGTAGTTTCTCCTGTGACCTAGATGGCAATTATATATTGAATGCCTTATGTAATACTTCTCAGCTCCCACTTAGGGAGACAAAAGGAAAGATTTAAAGGCAGTTGTGGTATTTTTTCTTTTACATAATAAAATGTTGCAGTCATCTTACGTGAGCTGCTTCATAACATAGGCTGAAGAATCCCACTGAGTAGTGCACCTAAAATCACTGACTAGGAAGTCTGTGAAGGATTTGCCTACTTCATAGCTTAATAAAGCGATAGTGTGTTTTGCAAGGAAACGCTGTACAAATACGGTGCAATATCCTTTGAACAATGGTAAGGATATGGTAAAACCACAGCCCCAGGTTGTGTAAATTCTGCTGATTTGCCAACACCAAACTGCCAAATATCTGGACCTCCTGCTTTGCACCCTTTGGGGGATTTTCAGGCGTTAGCACAGACTTTTCCATTAGTGGAGAGCACTACACTCCATTTAGGGAAGAAAGTCACTCTCCAAGGATCTGTGGCAGTGCCTTCCTCTTTAGTGCTCTCCAGCAAATCTAGTTGTTTATTTTATGAAGACTGCATTAGCTTCTATCTGCATTTGTTTTCTTCTTTCCTCCTGTGACTTGACACCTGAGGTATGGATGCACCTTAGGTGGAAGCCTAGGAGAGGAGTTCTTTTGCTCATTCATTTTGGGTGACAGATTAATTGCTTTCTAAATAGCTTATAATAGCTATGGATTTTGAGGTCCATATGGAAAGATACTGATTTATTTTTTATCTACTACCCGTAGCTTGTCCTCTTATGGAAAACAGAAAGCTGCCAATAAAAGTGATAGAAAATATTAAAAAATTGGCCCACTGCAAATTTCTGTCTTTATTCAGTATTTAGAATTTTTCCTTATAAAGTGATTGACTAATTTTTGTCCACCTTTAATCATAAAGTGAAACGATATGGTAAAAAAACTTCAAGACTCGGTATACTTCACAACAGGGTTCTACAACAGAAAGTTTGAAAAATATTTAATATAAAAAAATAAGTCTAGGTTGGTTTTTTTTTTCTTCATTTTGGCTGCACAGTTCAATCAGTCTTCTTGGCTTTTGTTTTCCAAAATGTGTTTTTTGTGAGACTCATATGCCAGCTCACATTTTTAATTTTAGATGTGACATCTTAACTCTGCAGAAGGGATGTAGACGGAAAGAGAAGTGGATTTGGAAAGAAGTTCATAAACCTCTCAAAGAGAGGCTTCATAATGCAGCTAGTAATGGGAAATTAAACGAGACAGGACTACTACTCATAAATTTAAAGCAAAAGGGACCAATGTAGCTATATAATCTGATCTCCTGAATTACACTGCCAGTAGAATTTCGTTGAGTCATTCTAGCACTGAACTCATGATCTTGTGAATGAAACACAGCACATTTTCCTGTTCAGAACAGGAATAATATTCAAATGTTGGACTCTTGGCAAGTTGTCCCAAAGTTAGTTTATCCAGCTAACCTCTGCTGTTAAGGTTGTTTCTCCAGTAAAAAAGGTGTCTGTTTTGCATTTCCTCGCCTCCGTCTCTGTGTCTCACAAAAAGACTGACTGTGAATACAACTAAGCCAACCTGACAATCACTCTTTCCTCCACATCAGTAAATAGCAGACTTACTTACAGAAAGCCAGATGAAGCATTTCTTCTGCTGCACGAAACTGAATCTCCTCAAGGTTCCCCCTTTCTTAATCCTCCCGATCTCATTAGTGTCTTGCAACAGTTTTTGTTTGGCTTTGCAGCAATTTTCTCTTTAAAATGAGTCAGTAGTTCAGACTACAGTGTTGCTTGGAGTTGTCTGAAGTGGCATTAAAGGTAGAATTAAAGTACATAGTGGGATCATGGAACTTCCTTTCATTCGCCGCCAGTAGCTCTTGACAGGTCAATTTTATCTTTCTTTTATCTGCATTGCTGTTTTTCTAGCTGTAGTACAGACGTTGCTACTGTTCACATGCATTTTTATGAGGGGAGCTGAAGGGCCTGCTTTGCATGTTTGTTTATTTTTGCATCCATTAGTGGAAGCGTCATTGTTAATGACACCACATAAAACTGATCATCCTTATGGTGCTGACAGTGTCTGGGCTTTGTGGGAGCTATACTGGGATATTTGAGGGAAAGAGGTGGAGCTGGCTTATCTGAGGAGGCTGGGCAGTAGGAGAGAAAGAACTGTGCATGAAAGGAGTTGCCTACTGAAGAATAACCAACAGGAACTAAATTGTGAAGATGATCAGCCTCATTCAAAAATATCACATAATAAAGATTACTAAGAGTGAAATAACAGAATTTTTTTTAAAAGAGGCGAATTGTGGCCACAGATACATTCTACAGTTTTGAAGGTCTGAAATTTCTCCCCCCCCCCATAGAAATTCATCAGTATACATTAATAAGTAGCATTTAGAGTCCTGAAAAAGGGAAGTTCACAGCTGTATGTGAATTTATTCTGGTTTTCATAAGATTCAGAAAAACACTGCCCTGCATAGTTCTGTGCTTGAGTCCTGATAAAGACAGCTGTGGCTATGGCAGTCTACTCTCCATGACATCCAAAGTTCAAACACCACAAGGAAGCAATCTTGAATACCAAAGCACTAAAAAACCTCCAGCTAGTACAACAAATAGCACATGGGTCAGACATGATCTAAACTAACAGAAATATGTGGTCCCAAAACTTTACAGGGACTTTTAATATTTTGTGATGGGGATTGTATGAACAGGGGATTGATGTTTAATTATGTTCTTTGAAGAATGTCTAGTATGTCTAAATCAGGGCAACATGAAGATGAAGGAAGCTTATATCTTTGACTATACATCCGTGAATATCTTTGCAGTATAATGGAAATGGTGTTCTTATGGTAAGATTAGAGTGCTGTCTAGTTATACAAAACCAAATGCTTGTCTCCAAAGAACATTTTGAGTAGTTGGAAAGCAGGATTTACTTGATAGAAGATTTGGATGGATTTGGGTGAAAAGAAGGGTTTTTTCAAAGTTTTTAGCTGGCAATGTCCGTATTTCCTTACAGAACCCTAAAAATATGGAAATTACATTAAAATATAA